AGAAATGACAATATAACTTCCTACGTACGTATATTTATAAATTATCTGTTAATGTTAATGTAAGTATACTGAATTTATATTATAAATTTAATAACATTTCAAGTTGGCCGCCAAATTTGTACACAACTCATTACTGTCATGATCTCCACTATAAATCTCGCCTGCCAAATAAAAAGATTAAAAGAAAGAGATATATTTATTAAATGTAAATTTCCCACAGAATTTTTTCAAAAAGCTATTGGGGCTGCGTTTAATGAATGAAATATTGACTTTACAAAATTTAAATCATCCAAGTAACTGCAAATTTTAATTAGAAGAAAGAAAAAAAAAAAAAAAAAAAAAACCTTTGCGAGAGTGAAAGAAAAAACCATATCAAAGGTGACTTTCCGAACGTCATCATTAGCTAATCAAATTAGATTTCAAGGCAAAATAATAATAATAAAAAAAAGAAAAAGAAAATTGTTATTCTATCAAAAACAAAACAAATTCTGTTGTTGAATTAATTAATTATGATGTACGTATGTGTGTGTGTGTGTATATATATATATATATATATATATATGTACTTACATGTCAAATTCAATTAATGGAAATTTTGAATTTTAGTTTGAATAACATCTAATTTCTTTTTTCTTGATTGAAAATTTTGTTGGTCAGAAGAGTAATTCCAATAACCCACTTTACCATGAAAGTAGGATGCATGAATTCTCTGTTAGTAATTTTAATATATGTACATAGTCTTACTTCTCTTTTTCTTGAATTCTCTTAAAATATTCATTTTCAGAGTTTGTGAATTTTCCATTTTACTATTTTATTCAAACAAAATTCGTGGTAATTTACCAGAAGCTTTGTATTAACCCACCATAAAATGGTTTGAAGGAACCCACTTCCCTTGGCCCAATTATAATGGCAGCCCATTTCTTCTTGGTCTAATTCCTCTGCTACTAACTGCAATTTCTTTCAAGACCTTCATCCAACGTATTCTAATCTCTCTGATCGACACACACCCTAAATCTTCTGTTCTGACAATGCACGTGGCACCACCAAGTCCCTCCAAATCACACGTGTCATCCGCCCAACTCCTCCTTCCCACCAAACCACCGCCTTCTTCAACCTCAATCACTCCGCAGAGCTCCCAGCCACCAGCATCGACCAAGGGAAAACACACAAAAAATGCACCGTATAAAGCTTTGTAAATACTTTCCAAAACCCATTGCCTACAGCTACCAGACCGTCCACCATCAAACCCATCTCGAAAATGTCGCCTCAATGGCGTCGCTCCTAAAATCTCGCTCGGTGATCCGGTTCAGTGGCCCGGACACGGTCAAATTCCTTCAGGGTCTGTTGACCAACGATGTACGTAGATTTAGTGAACCATTGGGTGGGCAGAACTCCTCTCTGCCCACACCCAACTTGCCCTCTGTGTCTGCTTCTCCCATCTATGCTGCTTTGTTGACTCCTCAAGGTAGGTTTCTGTATGATTTGTTCTTATATAGACCCTCAAGACCCGAGGAGAAGCTTGACCGGACTGGCTCCGGACCCGGACCGGATTCAGGTTTATCTGGGTCTGTTGAATTGTTCGCGGATGTGGATACTTCAGTTTTTGATGAGTTATTGGCGACTTTCAAGAGGTGGGTTTCTTTGTTGAGGTTTAAAGCTTTTATCTTTTGTTTGTTTTGTTGGAAAAAGTACATTCTTTGAAATGTTATTTTCATGTATTGGATTGCGAATTCAGTTGGCAGAGGTACTGCCATAGTTATAATTAGGAGATTCATTCTTACTATGATAGTTGCATGCTACTCTTAGTTTATTCTTTATAAGGTTGTTTTAGTTTTAACTTGTTTATTGGCTTTCTGTTGATTGGTATTTGTTGTTAAATTGTGAAGATGGACCTTAAATGAATATAGATTTCTATTTTAGGTAATTTAGGATATGGTTGCCTTTCCATTATTCATACAATTGCTGACAAGTTGGAATTTGCCCTTTGTACCGCAAGCTCCGCTTTCCAATATGTTAGGATACTGTCTTTTGCTTCATGGTTGTTCCCAAATCCAGGCATTTTGATGGTTGCTAGTAACTCAATTTGCTTATTCTGGCATCTAATATGGCACTTTTGAGCTGAGGTGATTCCATGTTTGCCATCAAAAGTTTCAGTTAGGTTGTTAAGCTTCGAGGAGTCCATGTCTCTGCCAATGCAGGGTAGAAAAATTTCGCTAATGGGCAGTTGTCTTTTGACACCTTCTTGTCCTGGACTTTATCTTATTTCAGTCTTGAAATATTACCTGAACCCAAAACTTTTCTTCAATATTTGTCTGCAGAATCAAGCAGCATCAGAGACATATAATATCCCTATTGGCAATAGGGAATGCTTACAGTTTTTGACACGATGTTTGGAAAATGATAGCTATTATAGTTTGAAAATAATAAAACTCGTTCTCTCAGTGTTTTCTACAAAGTTGTTTCCATTATACTTTTGACTAATAATACGTAGATATCACCATATATGTTTATCTACAAACACATATTAGGAACTGATATAATGGAATAAGTTGCTGGTGGGGATGCTGCTTAAAACTTGTCATGGTAACTCAGTAAGCTATTGGTTAGCTGTTTTGTTCATCGTGTAGAAACTGCATAGCCTTTTCCAAAGTATGATTTAAGGTATTTGTTCAATCTCTTTGTTTGTTCATTGGCTCTCTAATTTTTGTTATGCACTTTATGTACTGAATTGGCCTGCTCTATGTGGCTTGTCTTTTTCATCGTATTTAAGCTTCAACTTTCATCAATTGCCTTTTCCTTCATCTTTCTACTTCAGATATCGCCTGAGGTCCAAGGTTGATATTGAGAATGTTGCAGAAGACTTCTCCTGCTGGCAGCGTTACGGTAAGAATATTTCTGAAAAGTCTTCATTTGTCGAAGAACCAGAGGCCACAGCTGTTGGCTGGGGTGGTGGTGTTGATCATTCTGGTATGGCCACTGCACGAGGTAATAATCATGGATGGCAGTGGTTTAAGGACCCCAGATTGGATTTTCTTGGTTACAGGGGAATTTTTCCGTCTAATACAACTCGTAAGTCATTTGAAGTTTGTTTCCTTCTAAGAAGTATATATTGTTTACAGTTTTAATTCATTTTAATTGTCTTACAAACATGCCATAGGTCATCCTTCCTTATAATAAATAAGCTAAAATTTCTCACTCTTTTCTGTCTGTTGCAGCACCTTTAGTTGAGTCTGACAAAGAAACAGATGAACATAACTTTCTCTTGTGGAGATTGGAGCTAGGAATTGCAGAAGGCTCCAGCGAAATTCCAAAAGGTATATATTGTTGATAACTTAATGTACTTGCTGGTTTTTTTTCATATCTTGTGCATTTTTGTATTTGTGATGAAGAAATAATTCCACCTTTTTCTTTCCAACCATGAAATCACAAACCTTCATTTTCGTATTTTTGTTTTGTTTGTTTGACCTCTTAATTTGAAGTAACAAAATAACAATGCCGTGTAGGTGAGGCGATTCCACTTGAGTACAATCTTGCAGGCCTAAATGCAATAAGCTTTGACAAAGGATGCTATGTGGGTCAAGAGCTTGTAGCTCGCACACACCACAGAGGGGTCATTCGCAAACGTTTACTACCTTTAAGGTTTCTAGGTGGTAATGGAAAAAGTAGTCTTCCCTCAAATCTGCTCCTAATTTGAAGTATTTTCTGAAGGCTAATAAAATTTCTTTTGATGTTCCAGAGGTGGATCAAAAAGTTGCTCCTGGGTCAGAAGTGATTGAATCTGCAACAGGGAAGAAGGCGGGGACTGTGATAACCGCAGTTGGCAGCCGTGGGCTGGGTTTGCTGAGGTTGGAGGAAGCCTTCAAAGGCTCAGGTTCATTGAAGAGCATACAAGGAGAAGAAGATGTGAAGGTGGAGGCCATTAGACCAGCATGGTGGCCTGCTGATTGGTTTCCAGAGTATCAACAGCATACCGTGGTTTTGTAGTGTTATTTTTAGGAGAAAGGGCCCCCCATCAAATCATTTGGTGCCTCGTGGTTCGCACCCTCCTTGCCAGATGCCCTTATTTGAAAATTGTTTACACTCTTCTTAATGAGAAACACTCCTCAATGACTCTTAACACAAAAGAATAAAAAGCTCCTCAACTAAGTTCGATTTCTTTGATTCTGTTTAGTTGGTAGCAAACGAAATATGTGATTGTACTCTTTGGGCTAGCTACGTAAGAAGTGATGCTAGAATTATCAGTTAAGACATAGAAAGGATATATATTATTAGCAAATGAGTTGTCAAAATGCCAAGTTTCTTTTCTTCCGGCCGGAATGACACTGCGCCAGTCTATCAGGGGAAGAGATGTTATTACATGCAAGCTTATCGACCAGCTCCAATTGACAGGAATTCGTGATCTTTCAACATACCTGGTCGGGCCTTGTAAAATTACACGTGCAAACAGTTTCAAATCAAGACATTGCTTTCCAAGGCCATCTCATTGGAAACATACAAGAAAAACGAAATAAATGATGAGCAAGGGTATTAAGAATTGGCACTCATCTCCTGAATCACAGACTCAAATGTTGGCCTATTGCCAGGGAGTTCGTGGGTACAAGCCAGTGCAATTTTTGCCAGCTTAGCTGCTTCCAATTCGGAGAATTCTCCTCTGAGGTTCTCATCAATAAAACCTTCATATCTGCAAGATTCAGCTGCCAATCGCATTGAGTTGCTAAGTATGATCTTTCCATAGATAATTTGGAGAATAATCACTCCAAATGCAAAAATGTCAGTCTTCTCCGTAAATCGACCAGTGGTAATATACTCCGGAGCTAGATATCCCATGGCTGCACTCGTCTTTAGTGCAGAGAAGACAATGTCGTCAGCAAGAAGCTTGTGAATGCCAGAGTCTGCAATCAATGGTCTAAACTGGTGATCAATGAGAATCTTCTCGGTGGATATGTTTCGGTGGACAATGGTTGGTTTATTGGCTTCGCTCCGGTGCAGATATTCCATCCCTGGTAGGGCAAAAACAATGTTATTCATGACATTGACTGTAAAAGTTAAAACCTTTAACTTCCATCATTTAATATTTTATTCAGTAGAAAGCTGTATAGAAATAGATATAGAATAAGAAACCAGACCTTTTGCAACGCCATTTATGATGGATAACCTTTTAGACCAGTCAAGAACCTTGGTGCTTCCATATTCAACGTCAAGATATTTTGAAAGGGTTCCATTAGCAGCAAAGTCATAGAGGAGAAAACATTCACCTCTCCCTCTTGAGCAACAGAAACCCCGCAGCCTAACAAGATTTTCATGTTTGAGTGAGGTTAACAAGTTCAAGCCTTTCACAAACTCAGATTCCTCATTCTTACAGCTGGTTATATTGATACTTCTGATAGCTACAACAGAACCATCTCTTAGAATTCCTTTGTAGACAGATGAGAAATTGCTTCTTCCCAACAAATTAATCTCAGAAAAGCATTGAGTGGCCGATTCAATCTCTTCCAAGCTGAATCTGAACTTATTATGATGCTCCTGAAAGAAACCAGAGTCCCATCCATTAGCATACTCAAGAGATACAAGTGGTGAGGTCCCGCTCCTGCTCAACTCCTTGGCGTGATCAGTACTTAGCTGCCCATCGGAACATTCAGATGTATTTCCAATCTTTTGTTTCTGCAGGCGGTATCGGAAAAAGGCTACCAATCCCGCAATAACTAGTGTGGCAGTCACAGTAATAACCCCAGCAACGACAATAATTCGTGGCAATTTTGATGATTTTGGGCAATGGGTATGGTTGCAGTGTTCCTCAAAATCCGTAGGCTTAGAGATGTCTTTTGGATCAGTTTTGTTTATCTTTGATCTGAAAGGCTCCAGTTGGTTGATATTGAGATCATCATAAGCGGTGCAGGCTCTCAAAGAAGGAAAGTCAATTCCACATAAACCAGGATTGTTTTCGGACAAGAATCCATCATTTAATTTCTTTAAACCTTAATATTATGGAGAAAAAAATCAGTCCCAAGAATAATATGTCGAAAATGAAACTTGTAGAAAACAAACAAGAAGGAGAGTGAGAGAAGTTACCAGAGGGAACAATTCCGGAAAGACTATTATTTCGGACATCCACCACTTCTAGCTGAGGAATGGTTGCTAGTGTAGCAGGAATAATCCCGGATAAACCATTAAAACCCAAGTCAAGCCTTCTTAACATCCCCAAATTCCCTAATCTTTCAGGAATTTTACCAGTTAAACTGTTATGCTGCACAGCAAAGACGCTTAGCTTCTTCAAGGATCCGATTTGCATAGGTATATTTCCTGTTAGCTGGTTACAACACAGCTCCAGAACTACAAGACAGAATCTTCCAATGAGCTGAATCTAAAGTGACATTTCTTCACTCGCGATTTGAAACAAACAAGAACACCTAATTACTCTAAAACAAGAGAAGATAAACTAACCTTGTAAACTAGCCATGTCACCAATCTCAGGAGGAACATTCCCAGACAAATTATTCACATTGAGATAAAGATCAGACAACTCTGATAGCTGCGAAATCTCCTTAGGGATCTCCCCAGACAATGAATTATAATGCAAGTACAAGCCAGACAAGCACTTGAGCTCCGCCACAGCAGGGGACAACTTACCCGAAAGACCCTTTCCCTGCAACGATATGTTAGCAACTTTACGGTGCTCATTGCAGGCAACACCTTCGAATGAGCCACTGCATGGGTCGCCATCACTGCTCCATGACGTGAGGAGCTTGTTTTGCGGGTCTAAAGAACCTTTTAGCTCTATTAAAGCTCTTAACTCGGCATTTCCACAAACAGGTCGTAAGGTGGAAACTGAGAGGAAAAGAAAGATAAAGAGAGAGAAATAAGATATACCCATGTTTGTTCTGGACTGAAAATTCTTCTTCTCTTCTGGGATTTGGCTATATCTTTACTTGATTCTCTGTGTATCTCTCTAAAATTGTTGCTCTTGGCGAGAAAAGCAGGGGAGCGAATAGTGAAAACAAGTCCATGAAATCCTCCGAATAACAACCGTTTGCAAGAGAAACTGAAAGGAGAGAAGACGAGTGTAATGGTTTTTCAAAGTGGAAACCAGAAAAGTAAGAATAACGAAGACTTTTTAGGCGCCCTACAGACTCGTCCACACTTGGTAGCGTGACAACTGGCTGTGATGTCTCTTGTTAATGGAGAGGGAAGTCTTGACCGTT